CTCTTGTGACTGTACTATAGTGACTGTATTACAGTGTCTGTGGCCTGTACTAAAGTGACTGTACTATAGTGACTGTACTATAGTGACTGTACTATTGTGACTGTACTATAGTGACTGTTCTACAGTGCCTGTACTATAGTGACTATAGTGACTGTATTATATTGACTGTACTATAGTGCCTGTACTACAGTGCCTGTACTATAGTGACTGTACTATAGTGACTACTATAGTGCCTGTACTATAGTGACTATAGTGACTGTACTATAGTGACTGTACTATAGTGACTGTTCTACAGTGCCTGTACTATAGTGACTATAGTGACTGTATTATATTGACTGTACTATAGTGCCTGTACTACAGTGCCTGTACTATAGTGACTATAGTGACTGCACTATAGTGACTGTACTATAGTGACTGTACTATTGTGACTGTACTATAGTGACTGTACTATTGTGACTGTACTATAGTGACTGTACTATTGTGACTGTACTATAGTGACTGTACTATAGTGACTATACTATAGTGACTGTACTATTGTGACTACTACAGTGCCTGTACTATAGTGACTATAGTGACTGTACTATAGTGACTATAGTGACTGTACTATAGTGACTGTACTATAGTAACTGTACTATAGTGACTGTACTATAGTGCCTGTACTATAGTGACTATAGTGACTGTACTATAGTGACTGTACTATAGTAACTGTACTATAGTGACTGTACTACAGTGCCTGTACGATAGTGACTATTGTGACTGTACTATAGTGACTGTACTATAGTAACTGTACTATAGTGACTGTACTGTAGTGCCTGTACTATAGTGACTATAGTGACTGTACTATAGTGACTGTACTATAGTGCCTGTACTATAGTTACTATACTATAGTGACTGTACTATAGTGCCTGTACTATAGTGACTGTACTATAGTGACTGTACTATAGTGACTGTACTATTGTGACTGTACTATAGTGACTGTACTATAGTGCCTGTACTATAGTGCCTGCACTATAGTGCCTGTAATATAGTGCCTGTACTATAGTGCCTGTACTATTGTGACTGTACTACAGTGCCTGTACTATAGTGCCTGTACTACAGTGCCTGTACTATAGTGCCTGTACTACAGTGACTGTACTACAGTGCATGTACTATAGTGACTATAGTGACTGTACCATAGTGACTGTACTATAGTGACTGTAGTGAGTGTACTATAGTGACTCTACTATAGTGCCTGTACTATCGTGCCTGTACTACAGTGCCTGTACTATATTGACTGTACTACAGTGCCTGTACTATAGTGACTATAGTGACTGTACTATAGTGACTCTACTATAGTGCCTGTACTATAGTGCCTGTACTACAGTGCCTGTACTATAGTGACTGTACTACAGTGCCTGTACTATAGTGCCTGTACTATTGTGACTGTACTATAGTGACTGTACTACAGTGCCTGTACTATAGTGACTATAGTGACTGTACTATAGTGACTGTACTATAGTGCCTGTACTATAGTGACTATAGTGACTGTACTATAGTGACTGTACTATAGTGACTGTACTACAGTGCCTGTACTATAGTGACTATAGTGACTGTACTATAGTGACTATTGTGACTGTACTATAGTGCCTGTACTATAGTAACTGTACTATAGTGACTGTACTATAGTGACTACAGTGCCTGTACTATAGTGACTATAGTGACTGTACTATAGTGACTGTACTATAGTGACTGTAGTGAGTGTACTGCAGTGCCTGTACTATAGTGACTGTACTATAGTGACTGTACTATTGTGACTGTACTATAGTGACTGTACTATAGTGACTGTACTATAGTGCCTGTACTATAGTGCCTGTACTAATGTGCCTGTACTATAGTGACTATAGTGACTGTACCATAGTGACTGTACTATAGTGACTGTAGTGAGTGTACTATAGTGACTCTACTATAGTGCCTGTACTATCGTGCCTGTACTACAGTGCCTGTACTATAGTGACTGTACTACAGTGCCTGTACTATAGTGACTATAGTGCCTGTACTATAGTGACTGTAACATAGTGACTGTACTACAGTGCCTGTACTATAGTGACTATAGTGACTGTACTATAGTGACTGTACTATAGTGCCTGTACTATAGTGACTATAGTGACTGTACTATAGTGACTGTACTATAGTGACTGTACTATAGTGCCTGTACTATAGTGACTATAGTGCCTGTACTATAGTGACTATAGTGACTGTACTATAGTGACTATTGTGACTGTACTATAGTGCCTGTACTATAGTTACTGTACTACAGTGCCTGTACTATAGTGACTATAGTGACTGTACTATAGTGACTGTACTATAGTGACTGTACTACAGTGACTATAGTGCCTGTACCATTGTGACTGTACTATCTATGCATTGTTTAGGTCCTTGTTTGCTCAGCGGTGTGAAGCCCTCGATGATCAATTTCGTTGATGAAAATACTAAAATAGGTAAATACTACATGTTCATGTACGTCTTATTATGTTGATAATTTTGCTTACATTTGTGCGTTTGTGCGTTTTGAAGTGTACTTGTGTTCGTGTGCGTGCGTGTGTGTTCGTACTCATGTGTGTACGTGATTGCGTGTGTGCTTCAATGTGTGTCCGTGCTGTGTGTGTGGGTGTATGTGCGTGCGTGTGTGTGTGTGCATGTGCTTTTGTCCGTGCGTGTTTGTGTGTAGTACACAAAAAATAAAATTTTATCCCATGCCTAGTCGTGCCTACAATTCTGGGGGATTGTTATGATAAATTATAATTGATGAAGTATAATTGATAAAGTATAATTGATATAGTATAATTGATAAAGTATAATTGATAAAGTATAATTGATAAAGTATAATTGATAAAGTATATTACTACAACAATCTTTGCTGGCCCACCATTCAGAGGCGTAGCGAAGTGGGGGGGGGGGGTTACATATGTCCCCGGGCACCGACCTTATGGGGCGTCAAAATGGATAAGAAAAACAAATTAAAATGTCATTTTAGCTGCAGTTTTGCATTATAAAGAAATTGTTAATTGCAAATTGAAAGGTTGTGCACTTCGGTGGGGGGAGGGGGGGGGGGGGGGCGCCAAATTGAAACTTTGTCCCCGGGCGCCGGCAAGGCTCGCTACGCCTCTGCCACCATTAAAAAAATAATACCTATGTGATTTTCTCTTGATAGGGACCGTCATTGAAACGTTCCCTTTCACCGCTGACAACTCGACCATCTCCCTCTCGGCTACCAACGCCAGCATCTACTTCATCTTTAACGTCAGCTCCAACAGCATCGTGGTGACGTCGGACATCGACGCCGAGAAGAAAATTGACACGCAAAATGTGAACATCATCTGCAAGGACTTGTCTACGCAGAGAGAGGTATGAAATATAACACAGAGAGGTATGATATATAACACAGAGAGAGAGGTATGATATATGACACACAGAGAGAGAGAGAGAGAGAGAGAGGTATGATATATGACAGAGAGAGAGAGAGGTATGATATATGACACAGAGAGAGAAAGGTATGATATATGACAGAGAGAGAGAGGTATGCTATATACCACAAAGAGATGTATGCTAAATAACACAGATAGGAGTAGTATATAACACAGAGATGAATGATATATAACAGGTATGCTATATAATGCAAAGAAAGGAATGATATTTAACACAAAGAGAGGAATGATATATAATACAAAGAGAGGTATCTATATATATAATTCTCTTCTGGGAGCCTTTAGAAAACAAGCTGCAAGCGCGCCTTACAGTCCCCTCTCTTCCTCTCTATCGCTACCACCCCCCACCCCCTCACATGGCCTGGTGAGCTGTGGTTCACGCTGTTTACATTTTACAATCATAGAGAGGGGTTTGGTGACGGCTATTAGGGGCAGATAATTTAGTTTGAAACGATTTTAAACTTAGAGGAGGTAACTAAGAGGAGGCTGCTTTCACGTGGGGGGGGGGGAGGGGGGGGGGGTTAGTGTTTTTAAGCAAATTTTTTCAGTGGCAGCATTGGTACTGTCGAATTCACAAATTATAAATTACTGAAAAGTAGAATAAAATACTTAAAAAAAACTTTTTAAAAAACCACGTTTTTCTTGTGGACTAAAAAGTAGAAAATAACTATTTACATACATTTGATGACAAAAAACGTGGGTACGTTCACCATCAAATTTCCCGACCCATCTGCCCGACCCACGTTTTTTGTCATCAAATGTATGTAAATAGTTATTTTCTACTTTTTAGTCCACAAGAAAAACGTGGTTTTTTAAAAAGTTTTTTTTAAGTATTTTATTTTCTCCTTTTTAGTCCGTTGCTACACATGAAAAACGTGGTTTTTAAAAAAGTGTTTATAAATACACGGACTAAAAATCTTGAGCGACCAGGATTCGAACCTGGGTTGTCGCGGCCACAACGCGAAGTACTAACAACTATACGATCACGGCCAGCGCGCTCACATCGATTGGGGCCGAAGTAACTGTGTCATTAGGACTCCAGTCTTGTCGGTATCTTTAGAAATCATGTCCTCAATTTTATGGTCCTTGGGGCGTAATTAAATTAAGCTAATTACGGTCACTAATTGCTAGTTTTTATGATTGCATCTGAAATTGTTAGGCGAAAGTAGCATGCATGCCAAATTTCAGGTCTCTAGAGCAATCAGAAGTGGGCTAATTTTCGATGTCAATTTTAACAACAAACACACGCGAAGCTGAGTTAATAAAAACGTGTTAAAAAAAAAACTAAATAGCGGCGTATGATACGCAGCGGGTCGGCTCGTTTAATATAAAATAGATAGGTGTGAATATAACTCAAATAGAAGCATAGCTACTATTGCTAAGATTTTCTGGGAGATGGGGGGGGGGCTCAGATGCCTGGAAGAAACTCTGAAATCGGGTACAATGTTTTGCTGACATTCAATAAATTTTATACAATAGAGTAAATGGAGCCTTGTTTAATTTTTTTTTTAAATTTTTGATTTTGTTTTTAGGTGGCATACTACAGATACTTGAGTATTAACGACGTCAACGACAATCCCCCCGTATTTACCTCGAATCTTTACCATCTGAGTATTAAAGAGGTATCGCATTTCTTTTTTAATCGTTTAAATTTTAAATCATCCAAAATGCTTAATTTAAAATTATGCACAAAAAATTCATGGTTCATCAACTGTTATTTATTTTTAAAATTATTATTTGAAGAGGTTTAGTTTTAAGACTAAAAACAATACATTTAAAACTGAAATATTTTACAATGAAAAGGGTAAATACATTTTTTAAGTCGAATAACATTAGCAGAATGCATTCTACTATATGAGGTATAGAAAAATAACGACTTTTTTTTTTTTTACCAACTTCTATCCGTATGTCACACTTAACACTCCGTCATAAAAACCACACCCCACAACTTATAAACAATGTTGCCTAGACATTTCATACGCCTGTTTAAAGCAGCATAACTCTCACGAGTTTAAGCAACGTATTTTTACAATTTATAATCCATTTTTTGCCTCTCCCCACTCCCCCAATTCAACAAAATTAGGACCCCCCCTCCCCCACACAAACACACATACACACAAACGTTGTATATGTGAAGTGTGATGTTATTTGTGAACGCCCCCGGTTTTTTAAAGCAAATATGTTTTGATATGTGCTGATAAAACTGTGAGTTCATGAGTAAATTTATATGAACGCTGTAATTAAATGTAAAAAGATACCATCGTCTACAGTACTCTAGACATACATCATTTCATGATTAAACTTAACCCTAACCTAACCTAAACTTAATCTAATTTTTTTTACAATAAATAGTGTTTCCCTATTTAATCGCTAGCAACAAAATAGTTACTATTTAATAGTATTATGATGATGTTGTTTAACCCTTAAATAACGGTATACTTTATAAACATTTTTAACCCCTAGACGACTGCGCTCAACACGAAACTAACATCACCGGTTAATGCAACTGACATGGATATCAGCATAGACAATAAACGAATTGTCTTCAGCATATTGGAAGGTACTTACAGAGTGAGTACATACGTTATGCAAAATAAAATTGTACAATCTCATTAGGTAGTAACGCAGTTAAACTTTCATATTTTTTTTAAAGTAGAGGAATAGGATTCGGTTATGATTTTTAACATTGTGTGTTTCTGAAACTATATTCATATTATTTAAGTTAGGTTGAAGATTTGATTAAGTCTTCGATTAATAATAATTTTGTTAGGATTTGGGGTTGATTAAGTATTTGGATCGATGTACTTTTTTTGAGGGGAAATACAGCAAGTTACTATAGTAAATTGAAATTATTAATTAAAATATTTTTATACTATTTTATTTTGATTTATTCCTGTTTTGACACCACACAATTTATCTACCTTTTTAAAATGCCAAACGTTATTGTGAATTACTTTTATTCCAAACACAATAAATGAAAATGTTTCTTTGTGTAACATTTCTTTAGCCTTATTTCGTGATCATTGACACAACGAAAACGGATCTCACCCTTGTAAAAAAGTTGGACTTTGAAACTTTACCTCAGTTTAACATCACCATCATGGCCAGCGTAAGTTTTATCTCTGTTGTCTTTTAATACATTTTTTAATGAAGAAGCTCATATTAATAAACAGAATAATTAAGTTTAAAAATACATGAAGAACACATTCTAGAATAGATGTGAAGTTTTTAGGCTTAATATCGATGTTTCTGCATACCTTTTTACAAAATAAAATACTAATTGAAGAAAATGTGTTTCAGAACAAAAAACACACGTAGGCTAGACAGTCAGCGCAAAAGACATTTTCTTGAGTTAAAAATGTGTGTTGCGTAAAAATTGCGCGGTATGAAAAATACGAATTAACTGCGTAAATTTTTTTTAAAGTGTAAACTTTGCCAGTTTGGTAGCTAAAATATAACAAAAGAACCATCATTTGCGTAATTATATAATCACATAAACTAATATTATAGTTGAACGTTCCATACATAGTTCTTTCTTACATATGCATCACAAACTATGCCTTACTGAACTATTTTAAAATGCAGAACTTTTTAAAAATAAAATAAAATATACAACTCGTACCTTCAAATTTTGAGGAGATTGAAGTTATGCGCACTTTATACCTTTAGGGTTTAAACCAAGGACGCAATCAAGTTTCTAAGTTCGTTAAAAGGCTTATTACTACACACTATTTTGTAGGATGGAGTATTCAACACAACTTGTATACTGACCATTGACGAGTTAATTATATTTGGCAGGATGGAATATTCAACACAACTTGTATACTGACCATTGACTTGTTATTTATTTTGTAGGATGGAATATTCAACACAACTTGTATACTGATGTGTTATTTATTTTGTAGGATGGAATATTCAACACAACTTGTGTACTGACCATTGAAGTGTTAATTATTTTTACGGGATGAAATATTCAACACAACTTGTATACTGACCATTGACTTGCTATTTATTTTGTAGGATGAAATATTCAACACAACTTGTATACTGACCATTGACTTGCTATTTATTTTGTAGGATGGAATATTCAACACAACTTGTATACTGACAATTGACGTGGTGGATGAAGACGACCAGAACCCGGTGTTTAACGCCTCCATGTACAGAGGAACCATAACAAGTGACGCTGTAGCAGTAAGTCGAGTGTATTCTCTCCGTCACTCTCTCCTTCACTCTCCCCTTCACTCTCTCCATCACTCTCTCCGTCACTCTCTCCCCAGCCGATCACACTATTATCTATGTAAACCTAAATGTAAATTTAAAGAGAGTTTTATCTCCATCTGTCTTTCTTTCTTTCTCTACCTCTCTCTGTGTCACTCTCTAACATATATAACTTTCCAAATCCCCAAACATTTTAGGCCTATACTATTCCAATAACTCTGCAGTCCACAGTACCTTTTGATAAAATCTCTCTTGTGTTTTGTATTCCCATAACTACATAGGTTCTATTAATATTAGAGGTCGTCCATAAACAATGTTGGACTACTCGGGGAATGTAGGGGCGGGGATTCGGATTTGACGATGTAAAACGAAAGGGAGAAGGTGGGGGGGGGGGGGGGGAGGATTGTAGTGGGAATGGGTTCAGAAATGTTGTCATTTTAAAAAGTAGCCTAGTATTTTAAACTGCTAGTGGAGGCTGAGGTGTGATGTCATTTTATGGAGGAGGAAGGGGTGTGTGTGTCTTTCTTTCTTTTATGACGGTGTGTAGCAATCGGGGGAGGGGGGGATGTAAAACGTTTAAAAGTTTGAAGTGGTTTATCAATGACTGGTTAAGCTTTTAAAATCGACTAAAATCGTATATTATTCGAATCATTCACTGTAGTCCCAATCACGTCTTTAACAATCCCCTTAAACTTTTTATTCCCAGAATTCTACTGTCCCCATCAACCCGCCAATTTTCGCCTACGATCCTGATGTGACACTTCATGTCCCAGTTGTCTACTCCTTTCATGGTAAGAGTTATCTCTCTTTTCGTTTAATATCAATTTCCTTGACATATTTATCAGTAATTTATCAGTAATTCAAAAATGTATTTTATACCATTTTTTATGACTTTAAAAAAATATTGTATGAAAAATATACTAATTTAATAAATCTGTCCATTTTTATCATATTTTTCTCACTGCGTGTGAACAACTATTTTTACTGATTTTTAAACATTTCTTTTTTTCTCAAAGCGTAAATTTCTGCGTGAATAGTGTTTGCTTTAACTTTTTCCATAGTATTAGGCATAGTATTTCCATGCTAAAACTCCAATATTTCTCTGTGTTTAAATTGTCCTAAAACAACCAATGTATTCTAGTGTCTGAAATATGATCAGCTTTCGTTTTCAGGAAGTGAATACCACTACGCACAAGGAAGACTATTCTTTACTTCCGGTATTAGAATAATTGGCTTTATATTCAAAGACAGCTATATTCATACAAAATCTATAAAGCATGTCTATATTACATATGAACCTGTATGTTTAGCCAATCCCATATGTGTATGCATTGCTTCAGTGTATTCCCCCAAAACACCTTGTATAACTGCTGTAATTTTCATCAAATTAAATCTTAAGACGTATGTGCATGAAGATAGGAGGGACAGTGTAGGTCATTGTAGGTCAAAGGTTAAAAGGGGAACAGTGTCAGCATGGATATTAGACCGACAAGGACAATAGGCCAACGTTGGCAAAAGACAGATAAAGACAAAAACAGAGTTTCTTTCAGACATTTTTCTCCGTTGGGGAGGGGTACTTAAAACTTGTGGGGAGGGTAGTGAACATATTTTAAGGGGGGGGGGGGGCACTGGACACTGTTTGAAAAATATATATTGTATAGAAATTCTACTTCGATCGGAGAGGGGGTAGTTGTCCTCCCCAATAAATGCCTGAAAGAAACTATAGACAGACGACAGACAGACAAAGGGTAACACGTGCAAAATGCAGACATGGACAAAATGTAGACATGGACAAAATGCAGACATGGACAAAATGTTGACATGGACAAAATGTAGACATGGACAAAATGCAGACATGGACAAAATGCAGACATGTACAAAATGTAGACATGGACAAAATGTAGACATGGACAAAATGCAGACATGGACAAAATGTTGACATGGACAAAATGTAGACATGGACAAAATGCAGACATGGACAAAATGTAGACATGGACAAAATGCAGACATGGACAAAATGTAGACATGGACAAAATGCAGACATGGACAAATATCCTAGATTAGCCTAATGATGCACAGCTGATGGAACATGTATAATTGAACAAGGGTGGTCATTCTGATAGGTTTTTATAATTATTTTAAATCTACAGAAATCAAATAAGCATGGCTATAAAGGCCTCTTTCAATTGTGCTGAATGTCTTATATTTATCAGTTTTATCAAAATTGTTTTCCGGCAGTATGGAGAGTACATTTATCATGCATTTCTCTTTTATCTTAAGTCCCAGGACTAAAAGATATGTAGACAAATAATCAATTCCATTGTATGTCACATTTTTCCAATACCCTATAATTCAAGTAAAAATTATATATACAATATACATACTTGTCTCATACAGTCTTATTAAAAATAACATTGAAATGAGAAAACTCCTCTCAACTATGTGGTTGAGATTACAAATAATGTAGATATCATTGATAGGCATTCTTGACCTCAACCATATATATATATATATATATATATATATATATATATATATATATATATATAATGTTATTTTTAACATTTCATATACTGGCTTATAAAAATTGAGAAATCTATATAGTTGAGATCAAGAGCTATGTAGCAATGATAGGCATATACTAGCAGGTCTACACACTATAGTAAAATGACTTTCCCGATGTGTTTTTTAAACAACCAAATACATCTAGACCCACTTTTACTGTATTGACTTGTCTAGTGTCATAAAACCTAAAAGGTAGGAGACGTTTGTCAAGTCTAGGAGACGTATGTCAAGTCTGATAGCACCACACTGAAGTGTCACCTTCAGCATGACACATACTTGAAAATGTTATTGCTGTGTATTGTGGCCTATCTAATTGAAGATAAACAATTGATAATTTTTTTAGTGTCTTTGTGTGTGTGTGTGTGTGTGTGTGTGGTGGAGAGGGGTTTGGTTCCTTTTTTTTTGAAAGTTGAAGAATAGGAAATAGATAGACCTTTTATGTATTTGTAATAGAACAAAGTTCACTGGCAAAAAGAGAGATGTTATATTTCATAAATGTTTTCATAAAAAAAAGTTAAATCACAAACCATTTTAGTAAAAAATTTCCCATATCATGAAATTTGGAATCAAGTAAAAATAAACAAAAAAACAACAAACAACTGTGTTCTTACTGCAATAAACTACGTTGGGAACAAGGAACAACAGTACTACAATGACCACTGCAGGATTTTATCCAGAAAGGGGTGTGGCTGGAATAGTCAGCCTTTTTTGTATCATAGAAATAATAATAATAATTATACTATGTGTGCTCTTTATTTTTTAAAATGAACCCCAACGTATCAATCAAATATAAAGGAACCTATGATATAACACAGGGGTCTCCAAACTACGGCCCGCGGGCCGGATGCGGCCCGCGATGTCCTCTCATCCGGCCCTCGGAGATCTTTTTGTCCGCGGAAAAAAAATGTTTGTTGGAGGTGGCTGAGGTAAAATTAAAAACAAATTGAAAAGGTAGCATTGGGTGCAAATAACATTGAAATAAATGTGGCCAGTTGCCCAGCAAATGACCTCATTAAAGACAAGTTCAAATGAGGGCGGGTGCATTTTATAATCATTTGCCCAAGGAAGACTTTCCTAATATTCAAACTTTTGCCTCAAAGTACCTTTCAAATGTTGGATCAACATACAAACTTTATCCAGAATGAAGTATGCCTACGGTAAGAACAATTTGAGAACAAACTTGGACCTCGAGTGTGTTGTCGGTCCCCGGCAGTGTTTCTTTCTTCAGTGTTTCTTTTTTTTTTCTCTTGTGGCGCGCACTTGAAATTTGCATATTATATATATATATATATATATATATATATATATATATATATATATATATATATATATATATATATATATGTTACGGTCAAAGCCCGAAGTCGGCCAATGCTAGGATTGGCCGGCCAATCCGCGCATTGGCCAATATCGCCTCCCATAGGTCGGTCAAAGTCCGAAACTTTGCTTGATTTTGGCCTTTGGCCGGCCAATCCGCAGACTGGCCATGGTGGACCGGCCAAAGTCTGAAATAGCTCTTGATTTCGGCCTTTTAGAAGATCATGAGCAGATTTTGTTTTTTTTTATGCCATAAGGATCATGAAATTAAGTCTTTCTTGATTATTAATTAAAGTAAATGACAGAAACATTCAAATTTTTTATTGTACTATAGTCTCAATCTATCAATATCATCATTTGTTACAACAAGTTGAACTTTTATGGCATTTAGAATTACATAGCAGCTTGTTATTTTTACACTTGCAGCGATTTGTTGTGCACTTAGTTGTGCAATTGCAGCGAGTGTAGCCTTAGCCCCCAGTCAATGATTGTGAAGATGCGATGGTTCGTAGTGAATTTTCCTCAGTGCCAACTGACGACAATAAGAGCAGTTTTTCGTGAAGAATTGAAAACTCACTTCTAGCATACAGTTGTTTTAGAACACCATGTTCCGTACTTAATTTGTAGAAACCGCCCTCGACGCTCATGACAACTGCAATCACGCTTCGGGGATCACCGTGACCTCTGCCAACATCTGGAAAACGGATGCGTACATTGTCACCCACTTCACCATCTTTAAATTTTGTATTTGATGTTTTAAGCATCTTAGCACCTTGAGTTTGCAAGCCAGTATGAGCTGCTGATCTGTGTTCTATGATGTCTTGTTTGTTGTGACACAATCTGCAGGTAATGTTCCCTCCGTACCCTTCGTCTGCTTCATTGGGTATTCCACACATAGCATGAACATCGTTGCCACAGGATCCAAAAGAATGAGCTGCACTACAATGTTTTTCACAAACTATATAGAATCTGTTGGCCACATTATTGTCACGCAACTGGTCTGGGCGTTCCGCCACGGCAGTAGATGTGTTAGCTGAGGATGTCGTTGCATTTATGGCAACCTCCATTTCTTGTTCAATGTTCTCAAGATCTTCCTCAGTAACTATTTTATCGAAAGCCCATATATGGAAACTAACATGGATTTACATTTTTTTCTTTTGACAGCCATCTGCTATGTCTGTCTCATGGTCTGACGGCCCTTTTGATCCATGTCGCCTTGCATATAGGATGCTATACAAACAAGAGCTAAACAATACGTTACTCTCAATGAAAACGCACCCAGAATAATGAACAACTTAGTCTAGATAGAACATTGGCCAGGACATTCCGGCCAGTGTGCGCATTGGCCGGCCAATGTACAAAATACGCTGTCAAGTTTAAGCGCTTCGAACTTTGGCCAGTACGTCCCGGCCAGTGCGCGCATTGGCCGGCCAATGTACGAAATACGATCTCAGTGCTAAGTTCTTCGGGCTTTGGCCAAGAGAGCCGGCCAATCCGCGCTTTGGCCGCACTTCGGGCTTTGACCGTAACATATATATATATATATATATATACATATATATATATATATATATATATATATATATATATATACATATATATATATATATATATATATATATATATATATATATATATATATATATATATATATATACATATATATATATATATATATATATATATATATATATATATATATATATATATATACATATATATATATATATATATATGTATATATATATATATATATATATATATATATATATATATATATATATATATATATATATATATATATATATATATATAATATGCAAATTATATATATATATACATATATATATATATATATATATATATATATATATATATATATATATATATATATATATATATATATATATATACATACATATATATATATATATATATATATATATATATATATATATATATATATATATATACATATATATATATATATATATATATGTATATATATATATGTATATATATATATATATATATATATATATATATATATATATATATATATATATGTATATATATATGTATATATATATATATATATATATATATATATATATATTTATATATATATATATATATATATATATATTCTGTTGGGGGGGGGGCTTCGCCACCCCGAGGAGATGCCTGGAAGAAATTCTGGCCCCCGAACGTATATTTGATAGTTAATCCGGCCCTCGGGCTGAAAAGTTTGGAGACCCCTGATATAACAGATTAAAATTCTACTAAATAGGCCTACCTATATATCATTCATAGTGTAAATATTTATTACGCTTTTAAAATTAAGTTATAAACCTACTACTAAATAAATCTTAAGACATAAATAAATAGAAGGCAAGTGTACAACTATAACTTCTATGGCAAACATAATAAAACTGTATGCATATTTTCTAACAAATCAAACATTCATATCTTACATGAATTGTCACAACATATACCTTCGCTTCAGCATTATAAGCTTATGTTTTGCTTGGTTAACTAAGATATCTCTTAATTAAAAAAAACAACCTGTTATTATCCATAAACATCATATTTTCTAACACCTGCCAATCCAATTATGAATTTAACAATAACTCTATATTACATACAATATCTGTTTATGAATGGGATTTTTCTTATGTTTTACACCTTTATCTGAATGCATTTTCCATCATCGTGTCATATATGTTTAAAAGTTATAGCTTTGTTTAGTTTAATTATAATTACCTAATCAAGAAAAAGTGTATTGCTTTCCTTACTAAACTGTTCTTACATTGTGTTCTTTGTTTCAATATAGAGATAAATGTGTAAATTAAATCTTAACATTTTTCTTAAAATCATTTTAATATTTAATGAATTTTTATAAAGTAAGCAATGCAGATATCAAACAGTTATCTTTAAATACAAGGCTAAAAAACATTTTAAAAGACAGGTTTTAAGTGATCAAATAAAGGGGAGAGATGATTTGCATTGGAATTATATTTTAAAAGTTTGGCAAAAGTTTTTAAATTTTTTTTAGGCCATAGGTTTTTTTAAAATTTAATATTAAGTAGTAAAAGTTCTCAAACCCAACATGATGTGATTACTTGTATAGCTGAAGTTTTGCATGGGTTATTTCTCCTGATTTTACTAGCATGTTTGTGATACAGAACCAGGACATAACACAACACGACAATATTGTGTGTATAGATAGAATTGTTGAATTGATAAATGTAATTAGGAATTTTTATGTCAACAAATGTTAGGCCTATACATGAAAAGTAGCCTACACAACATCATTCTTAAAATCTCTTAGTTGATTGAACTAAATATTACATAACATTTGTATACATTTTACTTTTACACTGAATGCACATACTTTTTTAAACATCAGAATATTGTGTTTATGAATTTAGACTCTTTAATTACATTTCTAGTCAGAAAGAAAATCTGTGTTGCAACATTTCAAAACCAAACTTTTTAAAAATTTGAAAGTGAAATAGTTTAGTGAAATATTCAGAAATAAATCTAAACTTCACTCACTAGATTTCCAACATAAATCATTAAAATTATTAGAACTACCAATTACTTAATTAATTTTATCTAATTATAAATACCATTGAAATCATTTCTGCACCTGTTTTTTAACATTTTATATTTTCCCCTCCCCCAGACTCAGGTGTTCAGACAACACCTGTCCTGGAAATTGACCCCCAGACAGGTGTTGTTAAAATGCTGGAGAAGCCAACAGGTGATGAGATCTATGTCCTAGTCCAGGTATGTCAACTAGGCTTTATTGTGCACAAAAATAGGTATTTGAATAGACTTAATAACCATTGATGCATTATATTTATGTAAAGAAAGTTTTTTTTTTTTTTTAAAACTTTACCTAACAAAGACAGTCGAGGATTGAAACAGGTTTTAAATATAGATTTTGTCTATTACTTTAATTACTTGGTTTATCTACATAATTTGCATTAAAACTCTACTTCCCCTGACACTTTGTTCAAAAGGGTTCTTTACTTGTTTACATAATTTGTGGCAGATTTAATTAATATTAATTATGTTGTTTTTGTTAAGAGGGTGTTTTTTGAAGCATGCCTTTGACAATATAAGAATTCATGAATTCAACAAGCATTAAGAACAATTATAACATTTTAGCAATATTTGATATTTACATATGTAGTCAGTAAAAAACACAATATATTGCTTCTACACATTCAGTTTTTATTTATATTCCAACATTCTGGCTTTTGAAGAAAAGTTGTTTAATTTTTTAGGCAACCCAAACAGACAATCCATCAAGGTATGGAGTTGCTTTACTAGCTGTGACTATCCAGGGCAACAACATCAGTGCACCGGTGTTCACTAAGTCAGCATACAATGTTGTGGTGACTGAGGTGTTTCCTAAAGGTGAGGTGGTCACCTCAGTCATGGCAACAGACAGTCAGGTAAGACCCCACCCCCCCTCACCTAATAATAGAGATGTAGTGACCGAACCTGGCACCCAGAGGAACTATTAGTTATGTGCCATTTAGTATGTAGCTACTGACGTTGGCAAAAAGCCACCCCCTCTACAATTTGGGATGATTGGGGTGCTTTTACCAGTCACTTTCCTTTTTTTTATTATGATATCACACAAGTAATAATGAAAACAATTAAAGAAGTCTGTTAACCCAAGTAGCACTTTATGTTCTTAAACTCGATTGGAAAAGTCAGTAATGCAGCCCAGAATGTGCATTTTATATATATATATTTCCTACCCCGTTTGGTGCTGCCCTATTGTCGGAACCCAGGGCAGCTGCCCCTTCTGCCCTCCCCTTGCTATGCTTCTGCCTAATCAATGCCCTATTTGTGTTGATGATAACATGATTTTATTTCAAATGTCATTAACTGATACATTTAATTATCCACTAATTTTCAGGGGTCTCCATTGATATATTATCTCTCAGATCCAGATGGATATTTTTCTATAGATCCCTACTCGTAAGTCCACTTAGAACTTACTTTTGTGTTTCTATATAATTCACATATCTAGTTTTATTAACCTATTGCATCACAACTTTATTTATAGATAAGGCATTTTGTTAAATCTACAGGGGTGACATAATTCTAGCCCAAGAATTTGGCATCAAACGTCAGTTTGTGTTAACCGTTACAGCTAGCAGTGGTAAACTGGTGAGTACTGAAAACATGTTTGTGATGGTTTTCAACTGTGGCATGCTATTTGTATTAATTTCAGTAGCAAAGGCAGAGAAATGACTGAGGTTATGATTGGAAAGTAGGTTTAAAACCAACTTTATGAGGAAGATAAATGTTATGTGATAAAATAAAATAAATCTACTCATATAATGTCAGTACTGAGAACTTCAAAATAGTTTTGAAAAATGTTCTGTTTATATTATTGTTTATATTAATTATAAAAGTGTAAGTCCTTATAAAATATTTTATTGAAATTTAAAAAAAATAAATTCCTTAAGTTGATACTTTTACTTTTATTATCTTAATTTTACTTCTAGTTCTTAAATTTTATACAAATACTTTACATAATTCAACCAAAATGTCTACAGAACTCAACGGCAACTGTCACAATAAATGTTTTGCCTGTGATCTTGAATCAAAACCCACCCAGAATTTTAAACTCTGTACTTAATGTGACCAGTGAGAGAAAGAAAGGGAATGTACTCATTGTAATTAATGTAAGTGTTGTGTTGTAAAAATAAAAGTTATTGCACTTTGTTTTCCTGTTATTTATAATTATAATTTTTATGGTGTACTGATTCATTGCTGAACATTCAAGCTCTAGTTACTGTACTTTTTTTTATTAGATATCCAGCAGCTGCTAACAAAACCCCTGCTACTGTCAGAAAACATAAAAATGTACATAGACTAGTCTGCTACTAAAATTACATAAACAGTTTTTCCCAGAGTAAAAGAGAATATTTGTGAGAAGCAATTGTTAAATGATTATTTGAGAAAATTAAAAGGCAGTTACTTAGGGCAATCAGTGTTGAAAAGTAAAGTGTGTTTAAAATTGTCTTGTGAATGGAAGATAAAAAAACTGCATAGGTCCAATGATTTCAGTTCTGTTGATAATAATGATTATATAATATGTGGATAATATTGTTCTTGTGAATAACATATAATTAATTATCAACATTCTGTTATATTATAGTAATATAGTTTATACATTCAGTTTAAAAATTACTGCCTTATTATTTTAAGTAATAGCACACATTTAATATTCTTTCAGGCATCTGATCCAGATGAAGGCACAGAATTATCATACAGATTACTCAATTTTAATAAGTAAGTTTGTTTTTAATTAAGGTAAAAAGTTAATATCCAGATTTACATTTATAACTTTTAGTTATTTCTAGTCCAATTAAAAATTAAAACATTGTTTTCTTAACAAATTGTTTAATTATATTTTTTAATCCATCCTTAAGCCTGTTCACCATCAACAAAACAGGGGCGATCACCATCATAGCTGAGCCTGGAGACTTAGTGTACAGCTCATACGCTATAACAGTAGTAGTCTCTGATGGGGGACAACCCAGCTATGAAACTGCTGCGGCTGTTAATGTTATCTTCCCCTCTGCTGTGGTTCCTGTAGCTGCTGCCCAGATAGAAATGGACACAACGCTGGTCATTATATTGGGGGTCTTAGCTGCAATCTTCCTCATCTGTGTGGTCATTTTAGTAGTTTATATTTGCAAAAGGTAATCAATGCAAATTATATCCTATCTATGCTGATACATAATTGTTTTTAAAAATTTTAGATAGAAAATGTACAAACGATATATTGCAAAAGGTAATCAATGCAAACTATATTCTATTCATGCTGATACATAATTATTTTTAAAAATTCTAGATAGAAAATGTAAAAACAATAAATGTTTTTGTTATAAGCAGATTAATTTAATTTTTTTTGTCCTAAATTTAAAATCAAACCAACTTTTTTTTTTAAATATGGGGGATATGATGTATCATAATAATGTAATGTAATTTAAGAAAATACTATTTTAAAAATACTTAATGTTTATTAACATTCCATAATTTATTATTTTAGAGCTCTCCTTTTATATTAAAAATTTTGTACGTATTTGTTTATAAGTGACAGGCAAAGAACATTTTATTGTTTAGTATTAAAAGTATTTATATTTAAACACAATTAAAGCAACATTGCAATTTATTATCTTTCACATAATTAAGATAATTTATTTTGTTTTAATAAGGAGATTAAAGGACTATAAACAATTAGTTCTTAAGTAACAAAAATATTAATATTAAAACAACACAAAAGCTATATTGTTGCGTATTTTCATTCATTTAATTAAGACAACTTCTTTTATTTATAAAAGGAGATTAAAGGACAAAGAACATTTAGACAGAGAGAAAAAAGCAAGGCCCTCCCAACAGGCTACACCCTTAGCATATAAACAGAAACAGGGGGCGCTGGGACCACAGGCAATGGATAATATATTTCTTGAAAATTCTGATGGTGACAGTGGAAATCAGGTACATTGCAAAGTTATCATTTAGTACAGAAAATGTATGACTTAGCTCAATTTTCTTAGGAATCCAAATGTAAATTGTTTCTTGTATTTTAATTAAATCTAACAATTTGTATTTACAAAAATCTCTTCTCTTATAATTTCAGTCAAAAGTTCAATTTTGTTTTCATTCAATGTCTATATTTTTTTTAACATTTTTCACTCATTTTTACATTGAAATTTCTTAAGTCATTAAAATTAAGCTCATTTTGAAGCCACCATTGATGTGACAATGGAAAATACTTTTTTAAAAATAAAAATTGAAAGCAATAAGCTAAACTAACATATTTATTTCACAGGATAATCCACTAAATGGTGTTTCCAAGGGTTCTTATTTTAATTTTGTTCAAGATGACCATGATACTGAAGCTGATATTCATGATAGCGATATTCAGGTAAGAAAAGTTAAGGATTATACAATATATCAAATTACCATTCTACCCATCTTGATAACATTACTTTGTTAAAATAATAATGGCTTTTATATTTAAATTTCAAAATATTTTTCATGTCTTGATTTGATTGTTATAACTTAAATAAATATGACACCTTGTTCTAGTTTTAATACATTTTAAAAATAAGAATTGCTCTTCATAATTATCAACTTAACGTATATAGAGAAAATCACAAAAGTAAGATTTAAAATGTATAAACAGGTTAAATACGTGTTGTCATTAAAAACTAAATGTTTTTCATTTTGTAAACTGAATTATACATAAAAAATTCATAACTTTATATTTGCTATATGTAATTTTTTTTTCTTTTAGGTTGAAACATCAGTTTTACCATTTGATAATTCAGCATTGTATATACATAGTGAGGGTAATGACAATACTGACAACAACAGCAGCATTTACAGTGACTACAGTTATCAACCAAATAATAAAAATTCCTTAAGTCCATTTTACAGGAATGGGTGAGTTAATCACTTTTTTTACACTGTACTTTCTAACTTTAAATAAGAAATATTTTTAAAATAACACTTTGGAAATTTTGTTAATAACTTGAAATTTCTTAAATTCACTAACCAATTAGGTTTACATTGAAAGAAGCAAATATTCTTTTATTCTATTTGTTGTTAAGGCAAATAGTTAGTGTAGTAAAGTGATAAATAAAGATTTGGAGTTCATATAATAAGGAAAAATTGCTATTACATTATTAAAAAAAAGTATTATAAAAATGTAAATAATAACAAGATAACTTTCCCTATTGATTTTCAAATGATATACATTTGTAATTGCACTATACACTGCTATCAAATTCAGTTTGGCACATAAATATAAAATTTCTTTAACATTTACTTTGAAAAAAAAATGTAGGCCCCTACTTTCTTTACTGTTCATTAAGAAATTATCTTATTGTTATGACTTACCTTCATCAAAATTTTCCACCGTAGATCTTTGAGTACATTTAGAGGCAGTACGGACAGTGACATCAGCAATACTGGTGTCCCCTCAGAGAGTGCCAATAGTAAAAAGATGTTGCTGCCTGGCTCCTTAGCTAGAACAAAACTACCAGAGGAAAGTGGGGAAATATGGGAAAGAAGTGATCCAACTTTAGGTGCCATTTATGTCAATGTAAGTTGTTTATTGATCTATACTTTAAAAAAATATAAACTTAAATGTATAAATATTTATTTAGCCAATTTTATTTTCAAGTCATTATGTTAAGTTTGAAAATAGAATACATGGTATTTATGATATTTAAAATTGCATCAGAAGGGTTATGTTTAAGGTTAGTGTTATGGGCTCAAGTGAATTTAGAAGATATCTGCAAATTAACCAATTTGGTTGAATATTATTAAGTATAATTTTTTAATTTGTATTAAAAACTAAAAATGAAAATGTTTTTTAGCCAAATCTAAGATTTAGCAAAACGTTGTGTTCTACTTTCAGGACAACCTTGATGCAGATGCTAGTGTTGTTCCCACGGCCCAAAAGCAAGAACTTACAGTTTATTTTTAGTTGTTTTTTTTTCTTCAAAAGTAAGCAATTTATCATGATATTTTTATCATGATATAAATCATTTGATGTTATTGACAAAAGTACAAGAAAGTTATTCTGTAAATAGTGTTGTATTAAAATGTATATATTACAACTTGTGATATTTTCATTTTAATTAAAAATGAAACATAATATTGAATCCTGTAATTCTTTTCTCACTAATCAAAACATGATATATATCTGGTTAGAAATTTCTAATTAATCCAAGGCTGACGCCCTCATAGAAATTTGGTGGCTTTGAAACATGTTTTTCTTTTGTTTTAAACTTTCTTAGGCTCATAAACAAAAGAAATTCTTGTGTAAATAAAACGTAGTATTGTCACATATGTATAATAATTTGCAGAGGGAAAGTATAGTTGAAAAAATATATTTAACACTTTTAAGTGTTGTGTTTCTTTACTGACAATTCATAAAGACTTCCTCAAATTTGTTTAATATATTTGTTTAAAGATGCATTTAAAAATAAAATCGTTCAGCAAGTAGTATTTTATAAGTATTGATACAATTAGCAGTAGTTTTTATATATTTTAAGAATATCTATTTAATGTTAAATAATTAGTTGGCTTTTACTATTAGCTCTAAAGTACAATGCTCTTCCTTCTCAGCTTCAATTGTAAGTGATAGGTTAAAATAAATTTTTAGTTTAGACTTTTTATCCTTATTAATACTTGTTTTGATTCTTAATAATTAACTTATAACATTTTTAAATTTGTTGCCAGTAGTGAAAATAATAACTGTTAAAATATTTTAGAAATCTTTCAGAAATCGTAGAAAATAAATTCAAGTATCTACAAAATTTCAGATAATTATTGAACTTTAATAGTAAATTTTATTTGAATGGTAGTTTTTAGTGGAATTGTTATATATGAATCATTTTTATGAACATTATAGGATAAGGGCTTACATATATGATTAATTTTATGTCTAGATTTAAATATAAACCAAATGTTTTAAAAAAATATTTTAAATTAAACTTTTTGTTTCAAAAACATACTATTTCAAATGAATGGTATTATTTTAAAATTGCAATTTAAATCATACAAATAATAAGTTAACTATGTTTTTGTAAAAACAATAAAAATATTCATAAAATAATAGGATTAGGTCCCTGTTCATTTTTATCTATTTATTTTAGCATGATTTTAGAAACTTTGCCAAAATTGTTGTTTTTTTTACAACTTACATAAAATCATTAGTATGTTTTTTTTTAAAATTTGGAGCTATTGAAAAGTTGTAAATACTTTATATATATATATATATATATATATATATATATATATATATATATATATATATATATACATCGCCTAATCTATGAAAATGGATTCATTGTATTTAAAAGTATTATTTCTCTTTTGACAAACTTGACTTATGATTAAAATATGTGTTCCTTCATGTAAAAATAACTTTAAATTTGAAATGATAAATTACATGTAGAAGTCATGATTTTGACTTTAATTGTTAATGGATGTGACCATATTGCTCCAATGATTCAATTGTACTGAGAGGTCAAAGACAGTTCATAACGTTTCTAAAATGTCTTTCATTGTGAATAAATCCTCATAAAATGTATTGGTTATACTCCATAAATGATATATTATATTGGCGAACCCACTTACCCCACCATGTTGTCATACTTTGACATGACCCCTCCCCCCCCCCCCCCCCCCGCCCCCCCCCCCCCCCACCACCTCTCTCTTTTCTCTAACATGGGGTTTTATATTTTCTTACTATAAAATAATTTCCTTTTCAATGTATATCATCTTGTTTACATTTAAATCCGATGTACAAAAATATATATTCTACATCTCATTTCTTCATTCCCACAAACCTACCCAACAGTTAACATCACAAAAAAAAAATCTCAACCTCCCCGCCCCCAAGTATGTAATATCATTAACCTCTATACAATCTGGATAAGCCTAATAGACATTGTGCCATTTTCTTTATAGGCTTATTTCTAACCATGTTTCTTTATATGCATATTGAGAAGTAATTCATAAACATTTGTTTTCATTTTTTCAGCATATTTATTATTAATTACTCTTTGTTGTTGTCTATTCATTCTTTGTTTCGTTCTGATATTTTAAAATCTGGATTAGAGAAGTTGATATTACGAATGTACTGTTTTGTACAAATGAGAATGTTTTAATAAAAATTTTATAAATTAAAACTGAACTCTAATGTTTTACAAAATTGTGATCTTGACAAAGTTCAAACATAAGTTCCACCTTTTGAAAGGGATATAATTATACACTTTACACATTGAATTATATTTATTGTGTAATGAAAACAATTAGCATATAACCTGTCAAATTTATACCACATAGCTATTAAATAAAATAAAATAAAAGGGTTTCGTCGTTCATAACATTTTAGTGAAGGTATTAAATAGTGACACAGGCTTTTCTTTATACATATTTAAATAGTGATGCAGTATTACATTTTTAAAGAAAGCCATTTTATTCTAATGTCAGAGCATTTATAAAAGCTTGTAATTATAAACTATTTTTAAAATAAATTTTGCAATTATTGTTTCTGCCTGAAAGTTTGCTGCCCCACATCCATACTGACCCCGCCCTACCTGTATGGTGACCTGCCCCACCTGTATGGTGACCTGCCTTTACTGCACACTGAACCCACCCCCACACCCCCTATCCCTCTTACGTGACACACCCCACTCTATTGTTATATGCCCCATCTCCACAAAGAATATCCTTCAAATCAAACTTATCACCTACACTATCTCCTAACTTACCTCTAGCATTCAAGTCCTGAAAACAAGATTCAAAGATGGAACGCTTCAAACCACAGTTTGTTGTGTTTAAAAAATTTAAAAATGTAGGCGTAGGTCTACTTCTTTTGTATGTCATATGCATTAAATCACCATGAAGACTTATTCGAGTCAAGTACGCATTAGAGCTGGATGGACTCAGGGACGGTCTACTGTATTGAACCCGGATTCGAACTTTCGACTAAGCAGTCTAGCTCTCCACCGCTAGGTCACTCTGTCCCTTCATTAAATATAACCATCTCCGCATTACGCCAGGATGTCAACATTTGCCAATGTCAAGATGACATTTACGTCAAGTGTGACAAGTAGTGGGGTGGGGGTGGGGGATGTAGGTTACCAACTTCTCTTTAACCAATTATGTAAACATATACTTATGCCCATACACACATATGCTCTATAATCATTTATGCACAATGGCCTACATCAGGGGTCTCCAAACTACGGCCCGCGGGCCGGATGCGGCCCGCGAGGTCATTTCATCCGGCCCGCGACGATCTTATTGTCCACTGAATAAAAGTTTGTTGGAGATGGCTGAGGAGCTTTGCACAGAAAATTCAAAACTATTTTTAAATGTTGCTTTGTGTGCAAATACAATTACTCGCCGTGTTGCAGACATTGGTGAAAACATAGTGACTCTAATAGTGAAAAATGCAAGCAAGCTTCGCCATTTTTCAATTGCAATGGATGATTTGCTGGACAGTTGTTCCACCTCAACTTTTTGTGTTCATTAGAGGTGTGAAGACATGAACATAATACAAGAGCTGGCTTCCCTACATAGAATTATGACATTGTTACCGAAGTGGATATCTAACCATAGGTAGTTCAGAGACAAACACAAAATCGCAAGATTTACCATATTTCACATCAGTAAGATTGCTAATTTTGCGAGAAAGTTCTGAACAGAGTATTTAAGTTAAGAAAAAAATAGGTGACTTCCTTAAAGTAAAGGGAAGTCATAGCCATTATTGTCTGATGAAGAGTGGGTATAGAAATTGGCCTCTGCTGCTGACATAACTAGTCATTTAAATTTTCTTAACCTATAACGGCAATAGAGTGAAATCTTGTTTCTGATCTATACACCCACCTAAAGGCCTTTAGATACAAACTTGTCATATTTTTGGAACATTTACAGGCTAACAACTTGACACACTCTCAGCAGTGCAAGGTCTTTATGGCTGAACCAACCACTGAGTTCCTTAGAGACACGTTCAAAGAAGGGCGGATGGGTTTTCATACGTTTTTACACAAGGAAGACATTCCTAATATTAAAACTTTTGCATCAAAGTACCTTTCAAATTTTGGAACAACATTTTCAAGAATGAAATACGTGAAGAACAATTTGAGAGCAAACCTCGAGTGGGGTGGGGGACATTTGAAATTTGTTTATATTTCTATATAAATTATAATTCGTGGGGGGGGGGCGGTAGACGTTCTTCGAGGTGGGGGGGGGGGCTGAAAAGATGCCTTAAAGAAACTCTGGCCCCCGAACTGATATTTTATAGTTAATGCGGCCCTCGGGCTGAAAAGTTTGGAGACCCCTGGCCTACATGAAACTACTAGCCTGTAGATTTTTTATAATGGAACATTTTCTTCATACCTAGAAATTAGAAAAGACAATTTTAGCTACAATAGCCAAAAAACCAGAAAAAATGGTTTTAATACAAGGAATAATTCAATGCAGTATATTCAAATACTTTTCCATGGATTGCCCAACTTCGCATGTATCAGACATTTTCTTTTCATAAAAAAGTCTTAATTATTTCCATTTAGTTTTAATTGTGGCAAAAAGACAAAACAAATTCAAAGCAAAACTGAGTGGAAAAAAGATTTCCAAATGTTGTGGGGAAACGTTATAGATAGAGAAAACATCAATGGATTTCTGAAAAAAAAAAGTTTCCTCAAATTAAAAAAAAATTCATAAAAAACGTTTTAATAACAAGCTTTTATGTAATAATGCACTAAAAAGTAGAAAATAAATAATAGACGACTATTTAAATAATTATAAAGAAAAGCGTGGGTCACTTTATTATTTATTGGATACCTTTACTAATGTTAAGGAAGACACCCACGCTTTTCTTTATAATTATTTAAATAGTCGTCTATTATTTATTTTCTACTTTTTAGTGCATTATTACATAAAAGCTTGTTATTAAAACGTTTTTTTTATGAATTATTTTTTTCAGTACTTTACATGTTTTATTTACAAT